TTTCTTTCCAACATACATGATTTCCATAGGAACAACCTCTCAGCATTTTTTCTTCTTAGGTGTTCCTATTTTATTGTTCAGAATGCTTCTTGTTTGTGTGAAGTCGGAATTAGAATTAAGGCCTGTTCATCCACAAATGTTCATTCCAACAATGTTGGCATCCCATCTATGAGCATCATTTTCACCATGCTTTTGGGTTCAGGAGAGTTTTTTGACTACACATGGAAGGTTTTACACTCAGAGGTGTATATGGGGGTGGGGAAAAAGTGAGAATGAGCAGGAGGAGGGTAGGGAAGGGAAACTATGGTTGGAATGTAAAATGAAAAAAAAAATACTTTTACATAAAACTATTAAAGAGACAGAGTCTGACAGCACCCGATTGGACTAAGAGGTGAGTCTTTAACCTCATACCTGAAAAGCCCAGCCCCTAGGCTTTGGGACCAGGGGCACAACACTGCCACCCTACAACTGCATCCACTGCAGTCCCAGTTTCAGACCAGTCGGCAGGCAGACCTACAGCAGGCAGACCTACCTCTTGAAGACAGGTCAGACTACCACCATCCCCCATCAGACCCTGTAACCCAAGCCCCACCTCCCCCAAATCCCACCTACCCTCTGAGACTGCAACTGTTCCCTGAGACAGAGCCCTCCAGGACCCAATTGGACTAAAAGGTGAGTCTTTATCCTCATACATGAACAAGCCAGCCCCCAGGATTTGGGCTCAGGTGCACAACCCTGTGCCCCTACACCAGCACCCATTGCAGTCCCAGTTTCAGGCCAGTCAGCAGGCAGACCTATAGCAGACAGGTGAAATTACCACCATCACCACCAGACCCTGCAAGCCACAAACCCCAGCCCTCACTACCCACCCACATGCCAAGATTGCAGCTACTCCCTGAGACAGAGCCCAAGAGTGCCAATTGGACTAAGAGCTGTTCCCTGAGACAAAGAGTCTATCAGCACCCACTAGACCAATAGATCCCTCTGGAACAAGTGTATCAATCAGACCAAGAGAGGCTCCCTCAGACACAGACACCACTTGTACCAAGTGGAGAAAGAGATGTGTAAAAGCAAGTGCAAAAATACATTCAACAACATAAAAACCAATATGGCTCCATCAGAACCTACATCAGCAAGGCCCAAACATTCCAACCCAGAAGAAACAGAAGAAATCGACCTTAAAAATGACCTTAAGAAGATGATAGAGATCTTTAAATAGGAAATGAAAAATTGCCTTAAAGAAACCGAGGAATAGTCAAACAAAAAATGGGAAGTAATCAGTAAATCCCGTAAAGAAAGCCAAGAGACAGCAATTAAACAAATGTGGGAAACAGCTCAAGATTTCAAAACTGAAATAAAGTCAATAAAGAAGACAG